AAGCCCTCTATTATCACCAACTAGGTGATCAAAAGTACGCCCAGTGCTATAGAAAATTATTCGGCAACCTGCCGCTATTATCACCAATCAGGTGATCAAAAGTACGCCTAGTACTCCAAAATTATTTGGCAACCTACCACTATTATCACCAACCAGGTGATCAAAAGTAAGCCCAGTACTCCAAAATTATTCGGCAACCTGCCGCTATTATCACCCACTAGGTGATCAAAAGTACGTCCAGTACTCTAAAATTATACATGAGCATCACTCATGTCAATCATACATAAATATACATGAGCATCACTTATGTCAACATTCATGAGCATTACTCATATCCACATCTATGAGCATTACTCATGTCAATCAACTTCGAAAGCTTCATTTACAGAGCTCCAGCTTCGAGAACTCCAGCTTCAAAAGCTTCATTTACAAAAGCTCCAGCTTTAAAGCTTCACTTGCAAAGCTTCACCTACAAAACTTCAATACAGGGTATACAAATACCGCCTCCGAACAACCGCCACTTTGGCCCATACATTATATACTATATATTGGGCCTCAACTAGGCCTCATGAAAAATACTTGGGGGACTTAACCCATTATTTATGTACTGAGGAGTGAGCCCTTATTTCAATAAAAGGGACTCCCTCACTTTCATTAGAGAGCACCCATTATTCATGTACTGAGGAGCGAGCCCTTATTTTATAAAAGTGACTCCCTCACCTTCATTAGAGAGCATCGCCGCCAGCTGAGCAACCGCCTCGCCGCAAGCATCACTCCTAACCCATCACTTATGTATTGAGGAGCGAACCCTTATTATATAAAAGGGACTCTCTCACCATCATTAGAGAGCATCGTCGCCTACCGAGCAACCGCTTCGCCGCAAGCATCAACTCTAGCCCATTATTTATGTACTGAGGAGCGAACCCTTATTCTATAAAAGGGACTTCCTCACCTTCAAACGCCCCAAGCCGAGCCAACCAAGGCAACATAAGCCATAAGCCAAGCAGCCTCGCAACATGTGCTTCATCTAGTTGAGCCTTATTTCACATTGAGCACCGCCTCATATTGAGTATTCAGTTTTAGACGACATCTTGTTACTTCGGCCCACACATGGACTGAATTTCAAGTCTCCAGCCAAAAGACTCTCTTGACTGAAGACTTGGGGGACTACTGTTTGTACCATACTTAAGGCATCCGTATTTAAATCTCGTATAAATACTCGGGGGACTCAATTGTAATTATGTAATAAAGGAAGGGACAAATATGTAATAAGTGAGGAGCCCTTATTCTATAAAAGGGACTCTTCACCCTCACAATAGGAGGAGGCCAATTCTTAGGCCTGACTCTCACCCTCTCAAAGCCTCACTCTCATTACAGAGAGTCTCTCTCTCCCCCTCACAATCCTCTCAGAGAAATACAATAATCAGTGTGGACGTAGCCCAAACATTGGGGTGAACCACGATACATCTTGTGTTCTTTACTTTTTTGCAGATTCACGGTCGGATTTACGTTGTTCTAAGACCCCTCCGGTTTTGTGCATCAACACCTTTGTTTTATTATTTACACTAAATGGGTGGGGGAGTAGGCTAAGCCTCATAATAGGCTAGTAATAATGTGGGTCAAATTTGTATTTTCGCAAGAATCAAATCTAAGATCTCTCGCTTACAAATGAAGAAGAATGTCACTAGACCGTAGTACTAAGTGGCGGATTTCGTTTTATTAAAAACAAAAGCAAAAAATACATAGAACCATCGTAGGATATATATGTATTCACTATATTATAGGACTTCTATTCATAATTGTTTCTCTCTTTTTTCTCTAAAATATGACAGTCATATATGGTAAATATGTGATCCCTAACTCTATCGTCTTGTTATTTTACGTACACTAAGGTTGAAATAGGTTCTCCACTAAAAAGGAGCTCGATGCATAAGTCATTAATTACAACAAGATTATATTAATATTCCCACGTGACTGTGTATTGGACTATATGACAGTTTCTCCAACTTCGAATCTCTTTAAGATAGACAAAGTACACAAAATATGTAAATTTGTATCTGCCAGTGTGTTCATCTTGAGTTCGATATATATCTTTCAACTAAAGTACTTAAACCACTTGGTTTCTTCTTTTCAAAATACTAATCAAATTGCTTTATTCAATCTTTGCTTCTTGATTTCTCTTCTGGATTGATTCCATTCTTCTAAAAGCATTGCTTTCCTTCCACTTGACATTTAAAAACTTAAACGTACCAATCGGTATATTTTTTATTTCCTTTCTCACTCATGATTGGATTAATTAACTTAACCATGCATTTTTAAAATATCGGGTTCTGTATGAATAGTGAATTTGATGCCCAACTTTTCCAAGATTGTGATGCCAAATGCTATTAACTTTAAGAGATTCTTTGTACATCCAAAAGTGATCTAAAACCAAAGTTTTGAAAAACAAAACGTGAAGGACAGATTTACCTCTTGTAAAATGACCCAAAAACTCAATTAAAATTGGTTTTAGAATTTAAAAAAATAAAGAAATTAACTAATTTTGTTGGAATTTGTCACCAAACAAAAAAACTATTTTTTTTAAATTTAAAAATATTTCCACAAAAATATATGAACCTTTTGCCTCTTCGAGCCAAACCCCTAAGGTTGCCTCTTCGATCTCCAGTGTTGAGTCCGTTCACTATCACTTCTGGCAGCCCCTATTTCCCCGACATCACCTCATCCTCCTAAGGTATTAAATATCGATGATATCGGAAATATCGGTAGTTCAAAAATACGGAAATTTCGATGAAAATATTGGGATATTATTGATATCGATAAAAATTGAATAAAAACTACGTAAATTGTAAGAAAAACTTGGAAATTTTCATTGAAACTTTGCAGAATGTTTATTTAGTCAATTAGTTTATCACAAAAAATTGGAAAGAAATGCATTGCATGATAGATATAACTGATTTAAGTTGATTATATAGCGAGTTGGCAAATTTGGGAGTATAGAAAATATATAGTAATTAATGAAAGAGGTTTAAACACACCATAATCATTTATATATAATGAATTAGTACAATATTTTACACTTTATACATTGCATGGTAAGATACATGAGTGACTTAGCAAGGTCTAAAATATCGATGATATCGGAAATATCGGTAGTCCAAAAAAATATCGATGGTTCAAAAACACGGAAATTTCGATGGAAATATCGGGATATTATGGATATTTTAGACCATGGTCCTATCTCAACTCCCCAAGCCCCTCACCCGATCCCTTCCTTCTCGAATCTACACAAGGACCACAACTATCAACCACCATGCCCAGCCACAATACTACCCAAACCCCCACATGACATGGAATCTGGAACAACAAAGTTTGTTTTTATTTTAGTTTTACATTTCTTTTAAATTTGTAGCTTTTAAGTTTCATTTTTAATGAAATAAAGCATGATTTATCGAGGGTTGGATTTGGTATATTTGCAAAGATAGTGGGGTATCCAAAGAAACTAAAAAGTAAAACATGGGCGGCCAATAAAGTTATGTTTATAAAAAAATAAATGACTTATGTTTATAAAAAAATAAAAATACAATAAGACTTGTCCTAGTACAATTGGTACAATTGAAATAATATTATAAAGTGCAAAAGTGGTTGCAAATTGTGCGAACATTGAGCTAAAATGTAGTTGGATATCTATAGAAATATATAAATAAAAGCATTGGGTTTTGATACAAGTTGTTAAACCTTTTCATATATACGTTGAATGAAGAGAGTGGGAAAATTCTAAATATCAAAGGAAGAGAGGGAACGAGGGGGAAGGTTTCGGTGCACTGTGCGCGATGTAGGTTGATGACGAGTGGCAATGAGCAAGCATGCATGCACAACGGACACAGCAGCACCGAGATCAAGTCTATATGCATGCATGCATTGGAACAACGTACGTGACGTTCTCGATGTATGTATATCCCATGTGACATGAGACAGCTATAGAACTGCTAATTTGTCATCGTCCTCTTGCTCGTTTCGTTTCCTATTAATAGGGCAGTGACCTTTAGAAACCAAGAAAAACCAATTAGCTGTATAGATATTGTTTTAAAGGTCTCAAAGGATCATATGTTAACATGATGCAGCATTTCCTTATAATTCAGGTTTAAAAAAAAAACGACGCAAAACCAAAAAAGTTTTGAATCTCAACGAATAATTCAGCCCATGCATTCGAATTCAAAATTCTCTCATATTCTAAATTATTTTAATAATTTTGAACTTTCCTCTCCAATTAATAATTAATAACCTTTTTTTTTTAGTTTTTAAAGAGGAGACAACCGGTGGTAAGACGATTATCCACGGTTATTGATTAATAATTAATAACTAAAAAAAACACATTTTATAACAAAAAAAAGATATTAAAGGCAATAAATAATGAGAGAGGATCTTTGCTGGATCCCTTTTGTGAGAATTTTGGGGATTCTCCAATTATATCTGTTTATCGTACATACTACATTGTGCAGTCATAAATTATTGTAAATTTTTTTATTTAAAATTGAATATAAACAATATTTGATGAAAATTAACTGTACAATATACGATAAAAAGATGTGGTTTGAGAATCTCCGAAATTCCCACAAATAGAATCCGACGAGAATTTTCATAATTAACTACAAACGAAGGTCGTTTTATTTGGATCGAGATCCTCTCCTGAGCAGATGGAGATGATCATCCTGACCAGACCTATCGGGTAATTCAATTTTTATCCAACATCTATAATTATTATAACTTTTAGAGAAACTTTCTATTTATATCGTTGAATAAAAATTGAACGCCCGATGGACCTGATCAGGAGGATGCTCTTCATCTACTCAGGAGAGTATCCCGATCCATTTTATTTCACGACAATGCGCGGTCAAGAGTGAAATCCGACCCGACAGTTCACACGCATGTGTGTAAAAAAAGAAAAAAAGAAAGAAAACGAGTAGGCGTGCCAACAAAGGGAGAGAGAAGAGTCAACGAGTGGATAGCGGGTCGACTCATCATCCTTGAAATTTCCCCCAAAATTGGACGGACAATTAGGGGTGGGAGATAATTTCTGAGAAACCTTCAGAGCCAAGGCACAGAAAGAAGAGAGAGAGAGAGAGAGCCAGAGATCTTCCTCTCTCTCTAACATTCTGATCGGTTTCCTTCTAGAGAGAGAGAGAGAAGGCAATTCGCATGGATCAGATTTTGAACAAGGCGGGATCCTACTGGTTCAACCAGAAGGCCACCAAGGAGCTCGGCTCCGTCGGTGATGACCTCAACGTACTTTTCTCCCTCTCTCTCTCTCTCTCACTCTATCTGTCGATCTCAATTTAATTATGTTATTCAATTGATCATTTTAATCTGACTTAGGATCCAATCAGGGTTTTTTTTGGTTAATGATGATTTTGGTTCCCAAAGTTGATTTCTTTACACGATCTGAATTTTCTGTGTGGAGCCCACTTTCGTAATCGTGTTTAGGTTAATTTTTCATTAAAATGTTGTTTTGTTAAATCTGAATGATGATTGATTCGATATGTTAATTGTCAAGATTAATACTTTTCCAAATTTGGGTTTTTTTGTTTTGTTTTTGGTTTTATGACATTCTTTTCGCTAACATTGTTTGTCTGATGATTAGTCATTGCAAAACAGTGTCGAAGGAGGAGCCAAATGGTTGGTTAATAAATTCAAAGGTTAGTTTTCTCTGCTGGCTCTGTTTACTTGCATTGCCTGTTAAAGTAACCCCTCACATAATGTTGTTGTATGACTGATTTTACGACTCGTATAGTTCGGACGTTGTAGTTGTATTAATTCATGGGGTTAATATGTAATACGTCTAAGTAGTGCAATTAAAAGTGAGTGAGCGATCGCGTATTCTGGCCAGAGTATGGGTGTGCCAGTGCTGTAGAGCGCGTTGTGATTGAGGGTATGTTTGAGATGGTTTGTTCCTTAATCTTAATGATGCTGGGTGGATATGAGTACATTCGTACGACCCTTTTCCTATGGTTTTAACTTGCTCGACTCTCGAAAATGTCGTATGTGGAGTTCAAGCAAGTAACTTGCTGCTGGGGTTTCTTGAAATATAAGTTGTATTTGTGCAGCTGTGGAGGGTGGAATGGTGCTTCCGAGGTCTAGGTTTTGGATTATATAAACTGCTATACTCAGGGGTGGACTAGTACTATATTCGTTCACTCATTTTTTGTGCGACAGAGTCATTACTGGTGTAGTAAATTGAAAAGATTTGATTAGGTTTTGTAATCCTCGTGTAGGCCTGTGTTACTTTGATAAATCTTCATAACAATATAAGCAACCTTCTCAGGGAAAATGCAAAAGCCGTTGCCTGAGCTTCTAAAGGATTTTGACATGGCAATAGGAATCTTTCCTCGTGATGCTACCAACTATGAGTTTAATGAGGAGACTGGGAAAATTACTGTCTACATACCGACAGTCTGTGAAGTGGGCTACAGAGATTCGACTGTTTTACGTTTTTTCACCATTGTAACTGGATATTTGAAGAAAGGAAGGCTAGAAGATATACAGGGGATGAAGACAAAGGTGCTTATATGGGTAAATGTGTCATGCATCACATCGGAGGGATCGAAGCTCCATTTCACAGCTGGGTTGAAGAGAACCAGGAGTAGAGAGGCTTATGAGGTTCAAAGAGACGGAATTACTGTCGAGAAGTTTTAACAAGGGTCAGAATGCTCATCGGTTTTTATTGTGTAATTTAGTTTGTAGAGCTTTTGGACAATTTGGCTTGTACGAATTCGGGCTTAATCAACTCTTGTTTGTTTCCTGTGGACTTCGAACGGTTTGATGCAGTTATCCATGGTTGTAGAAATTTACTGTGTTTTATGTATCAAATTGGGCATTTTGCTTCCAACATATCGACTTTTGAATCACTTGTGTACCTCTCACAGACATATTAACCAAAGGGAAAATTTTTGAAATCTCATATGAACTTGTACATTTTTTTCAATTTGTCATAGAAAACTAAAATTTTAAGCAATTTGTCATTCCAACTTTCCGAAATCATCAATTTGTCATCTCACTCCAACTACGTAAAATTTTCCATCCAAAATAAGTCATGTGCCTTGTGTTCAAGGTTATTTATGTCATTTAAGATATTTTTACAAGTTCTTTACTTTAGTAAAACCCTTAAATTTTGTGTTCGAGGGTATTCATGCGGATCGTTGTGTTCGAGTCGCGTATGTGCGTCTACAACTCTATTTTTGGCACCAAACCTCAACTCGTTTTTCATATTACAGAGCTCATATAAAATTTGATTTCATGACATGCTACACTGATCACCCTATAATTGTTTTGATTGAATGCAACTTAATAGAAGGAAGTGGTGTGTTAAAATGATAGAAATAACCCTGAACACAAGTCACATGACTTATTTTTGATGAAAAATTTAACATTTATGGTGAGATGACAAATTGATGATTTCGGAAAGTTGGTATTACAAATTGAAAAATGGGTACAAGTTCATATGACAGTTCACAAATTTTCCCTTCTACTAAACTAGAAGTTGGGAATTCCCGGTGAATTTATTAGTCATTTACACCAACAAGGGCTTTCAACCGAGTCGATTATGTGCATAAGTAACACCTCCAAAGCTGCTGCTCTAGTGTGTGAGAATCCAGATCAAGGTTTCTGCAGATCCATCTTCCTTGATCAAGTCCTGGAACTGTCGCTGCCATTGAGTTCTTGAAAGAAAGTTTTTGATGCTTCATAAGTGGACCAGCAAATTGCTGCAGCCGGGGCGTGGAAGAGCATCCTCGGAATCCAACCTCGCATAAGACTGCGGTACCCATCCTTCATCACCAGGCTTCGAATAACATCCCCTATCGAGTTACTCGAAAATCTATCGCACCCGCAAACCCCCTGTGTCAAAAAGAATGAAACCTTAAGAAAACCCCAAGTTTAATTCCAAACAGCCTACAGTCTAATCAGATTGAGTTGCTATTAGAACAGAAGTCAATTTAGTCTTTTGCAGTTTGCTAACAAGCAAGGCCTACTAAGGCAACTTGAAAGCAACAAATACAATCTTTCCAGTACTTGCATAGCAAAAAAAATCATAGCAACAAGGACTTTATCGTAACAAGAATGTCATTGTGGTGGTATCTTAAGCCAATCATGCACACTTCCAAATGAGGAAGTGAAGATGCAAAACAGTACGTTAGTGGCATGGGATACGTACCGCCACAATGGATTCCCGTCATTGATACGTTTATCTCTGGAACAACAAAGAACTAATTTTTTGTGGTGCGAAACTGCTTGTTCCTTCATCCAGATTCCAAACCCAATAAAAACCATACAAATTGGATCAAACATATTGAGCAACAAATTGATTGATAAAAGTTCTGACCTGACACTGCAATTGAGTTTTTACAACATCAAGCGGGGTGGTCACAGCCGCCGCCAAAGCCCCAGCAGCCGCACCTGCAGTGGCATGAACCACCAGCCTCTCGTCAGTCGCGCTCTCCGGCGACACCTCCATCAGCCCTCGCTTCGCTGCCTCATACGTAGCGAAATGGACGGCAGTAAACGGGGCATTCATCACAACAGTCGTCCTGTACGACTTGTAAAAAGCTCCAACCCCTTCTTCCACCAACACCCTCCTCACACAATCCGCAACTCCCTTGTACGGACTGCTCTGCAGCTGCAGCCGCTGCTTCACCACGTCCATCGGTGTGATCACCGCGTCGCTTGCAACGGTCGCAAACACCCCGGAAACCGCGTGTGCCACTGGGCTGTTCGGATTCCCACGTGAGAAATACTCCTTGAATATCTCGTACACTGAGAAATAAACTGCATGGGCAGGTCCTGCTCCGAGCCCCATTGCGCCGATGCCGCGGTAGAGCCCTGCGGGGCCTTCGAGCTTCAGAATCGAGCCAAGGGCCCGTCTAACGCCAATAGGTTGAACGGAACAGGACCCGCCAAAAATCTGCATGCGGGTTTTGAGCGTGTCAACTGGGAACATAGCCATGTGCTCAACTAGGCCCGCTATGGAGCCGGCAATCATGAACTGCCAGAACTCTAGGCCGTCATGGGCGGAGGAGGGGGATGCTGATATTTCTGGCCGGAAGTCGTGGGGTTGAGTGACGGTTTGGAATGCAGGGGAGGCGTCAATCGCCATGGTGAATGGTGTAGTACAAGATGGGGTTCAAACTTCGCGGAGAAAATTGTCGAAAAAAAAAATAAGCGATTCAAAATCAGGAAAATGAGTTCGAGTATGGAAAATCGTTTCGATCCTCTGTTCGTATTTGTAATCGGAATGGGGTTGGAGGGTTTACAAGAGGGAGTGAATGATTTGGGTTTGGGAATCGCTTTCCGGTTGAATGCGAAATATTGGGTTGTCTCCATATTGTAGAGAAAGTTTTTGGTTTTTGGGTGAATTTTTCAGAGAATGAAAGAAACTGAATTACATTTACACATTTAGTTCAGAAAGAAAGAAAGAAATCAAATTTAGAGTGTTTGAGAGATTAAAGAGAATCAGAAGGATTTCATATTTTTTTTGTAGATAACATGATTCTGGTGGTTGATAGTTGGGTTTTTTTTTAATTTTTAATTTTTATAAATAATTTAAAGAAGAAGTTTAACCATTAACCGTCATTTATGTCATTTACAAAAAAATAGTAAAAATTGGTCTCTCTAGCATCATTCCTAGTTTTCTATTTCCATTATGTATTATATGTGACCCCAAAGTTCATTTCTTTATTTGCTATTTTCTCGTAAACTTGCAGTTTCAGTTTGCAATTTAAAAAGGTTGAGTTGTTAATATCTTATTGATAATGTGCTAATTGTTGCTAGTAGAACATATCGACGCGTAATTAATACATTCTTTACAATATCTATACAATATTAGAAAGAGAGAAGTATTATCCAGAAAGATTCCCGTGTAAAAATTACATTGACTTCAGTTCCAAAACGAGAAAGCAATTCCATAAGCTTAAGGACAAATGGTGTGCCATGCTTGTGCTATCCACAAGCTTCAATCTTCGTTTATGTCCACATGCACACAAGTCTTACCACAATCAGTTTCCATCCCTGTCGAAAATTTCGCATTTCAATTCAAACCCCAAACGCAAAGTGTATATATATACAATATCTCAAAAGGGAGAATGGACTAATAAGGCACCCCTCCCATTATATCTACGATGGAAGTGCTAGGTGTCAAATAATCAAGAGTGCTGTTACGTCCACCAATCTGTCATCTTTTTTAATGCACCTTATATAACTAATGGGTGGGAAAACAAGATAAGTGAGTGCCAAATACACTTCTAATCATTCCTTTGTTTATCATGACCTAGGTGCCCAAAACAAAATTTGTAAGACGTTTTGTGGTCATGAAGATGTAGAAAAACTTACATGCATCCGTTGAATGTAACATTTCTCATATTAATTCGCAACATCAATCATGTGAGCCGCATAGAATCATAAACTATAGTCATTGAATGACAAAAACTCTTCCATTGTAGAAAATGACACGCATGCAGGGTGTCGACATTATTCTTCACAAGGCTTCCAAAACAAGATGTTTTTTACATGGCAGAGAGCCTCAGAGCCACAGGTTCTCACATCGAGCGACCGTATATTAGACAAGCTCTTATCTCAAATTCAAGCATGCAGTCTTGGTCATTTTGCAGACTCCTTGCGTAACTGATTTGGTATGCTTATTTTCTGATGTTGTCCAAAAGCTTTTGTTGGGTTACTGTTCTAATCGTTATTTGGGTAACTTGTCAATGTTGAGAGTGAACTTATTAAATTGGACAGCAGTCTGAGATATTGCGTCTTATAAGTTTCATCTAAATGGATCAGATTCCAAAAAATAAAATTGAACTCAAATTTTATTTTGTCCAGCTTCATCCACAAAACGAATAAAGTATTGCCTAGTATAAGAAAATGTCTTCACCAAATCAATAAAATCATGTCAGAATAGAGCATGCAGCGTAATAAGGAAAGTACATGACCAATTTTCCATTAGATCAGGCTCGTTTCCTAATAACTTAAATTTTTGTTATTCAATCCCATAAACGACTCACTCTCGCACAATCACTATTTCCGTCTTAACAAAAATAATAAAATCTCAGGAAAAAAATGGAACTCTAAGAAGTTGTCCAAACACGTAGAGACGTTCATTTAGTCGGTCACCATTTTTATTTGATTAGAGAAGATTCTGAGTTCGAACCTTATAAATGACCCTATAGGACTTGTTTGATGAAAAAAAAAATTGGCTTGGTTTGATTTGATTGATTCATTAGACATGAATGTTGAATGAAAATATGAATGTCAACTTGCATATTTGTTCGAGTGAAGGTAGAAGATGAAGAAATCATGAGAAATCTTATCCTTCCTAATCCCTTCAAAAATGTTGGGATTGACAGGGACAATTTTGATTTGTTCATGACTTCTCCACCTTATATCTTCAATGAGAAAAAAGACTATGCAAACTGACATTCATATTTGATATTTCTATCAACATCAGAATCCTTGACATCAAACGAGTCCATATGGTTCTCAATGACCTAACTTAAATAATGTTTTCCAATGAGTTAACATCCTTGTTTTGTTAATGAATTACTAATAAGTTAATATGGCTTTGATTTCTTTTTTTGTTCTTTTCTCTTTCAATGAATTACTAATCCAGGTTATCGCTCTAATTATTCGCAAGTGGGGGGAATGTCAGTATTATCTTTCCCTTATACAACGATATTCTAAGAAAAAGGGAAACATTCTACTCTAAGGGAAGAGGGGAAGGGAGATTAGGACACACAATGGGACAACCACTAATTAAGTATCCAACTCAACATAAATATAATACATTTTCGCCATCTATGAGTCGAACTGAGACCTCTAATTTACAAATGAATAGGAATATCATTTGACCATAATTAAGCTTTTCATTAGCCTAACTTTAATTAGGTCTTCCAATAAGTTCACAACTTTTTTCCTCTCTTGATCTAATATGCTTTTTATTTCTTATTTTGTTCTTTTTCTCATTCAATGAATTACTTCTGGATTATCACTCCAATTATAACCAAGGGCCACCGCTTTACAGTCTGGCTTTTTGGCCCAACTAACAAATCAAGTAGTAGGGCTTAATAAACCCAATTAATTTCCTTCCCCAACCCAAATCCATGTTTATATATCCCTTTACCAAATCCCAATATTGCGGCCCAAACCCAAACCCGAACCCAAACCCGAACCCGACCATACCAAATCAACAACTAGTCGACAACCCCTTCATTGCAAATTTGCAATCAAATCAGACAGATAGAAGTTATACTTTTCTTCCTAGAGGCTTCCAGCTTCTTCGACCTCTCATACCATTCAACTTGTTTTTTTTACTTCTTCCATATTTTTACATTTTTCAACCTATTTTTTTTAGCGAAAATATCAACTGATAATGTTTTTTTGGTAGTGAATTATTCGAGTGGTTAGAACCTTCTTCTTAACCCAATACCTCTGATGTTCAAACTCTCTTTTCTCTTAGTCTAGCTTTAAATAATATTATCGATTGTAATTAAGAAAACTAATAAATGTTTTTAACAAAATGTTATTCTGATTTAATTACTTTAATTTATGTAGATTGTTATTTAAAGTCGAGGTATTTAAAATCAATGAAGAACAACGGCACACTTCTATAGTCAACTTTATTTGGATCCTCTTCGAAGCAACTGGTTAGAATTCTCCTTACCAGTGTTCGTGGACCGTTAAATTTTTATCCAACGGCTACAAATATGAGACCTTCTAAAAATTATAATAATTATAACCGTTGGATAAAAATTCAACGGTCTACGAACACTGATCAGAAGAATCTCGACCAATTGCCTCAGAAAGGATCCAAATCCCAATACAATACAATGATATCTGAGAATTTTAAATATTCTCATTGTATACAAAAAAAAATAAAAGAAAATTTAAAATACTTTTCAAAGATATTGACCAAAAACCGCCACGCTATAAAAGTTGGCTACTCGCCAGCTGAAAGGAAAACTATCTTATATTACGAAAGTGCCCTTTCCATTTAGCTGGCGGACTGAAATCGCGCGTGTTTTCGTTTACCTCACTCGAGCGCGTGAGAAACTGCAATAATAAAAAGACAAAATTGTGATAGTTTTAAATTGCAACTTGGAACGAAAAGTGTGCTGGATTCCACGATTTCACAGGTACAAGATAAACAACCACGAGCTCGCCACACGCCGTCACACGTGTTCCAATCGTAGCCACCCATCTATTTTCTGATCCACGGTCCAGAATGAATCCCATGCCAGCTGTATTTCCTCCATATCCCTATTTATCGCCTCAGCACACTCCCAGCCTCTCATATTTCTTCACCATTCTCCAACTCCTCTGCAATTTTCAGTCCAAATTCTTGCTCAGAATCTCTGGTTTCGAATCACCCGTTGGGGATACTCCGTTCGAAAATCGCATCGACGATGTCTCTGAGGTCCGTTTCGACATTTTCGGTCCCATCCAAGCAACGGGACAATGGTGGTGCTGTTAGCACCCTCTTGTTCAACTCAAAACTTGGATCACCCTCCTCCGCTCTGAGCTTCAAGCCGCAGCGAAAACTCGAAAAGTTTTCGGTTTCTGCATCGAGAGATGCAGTGGCGATGACCGGCGTGGTGTTTCAGCCGTTTGAGGAGGTGAAGAACGATGCTTTTGTTGTCCCCGCGGCTCCTCATGTCTCTCTTGCCCGTCAGCGTTACGCAAAAGAGTCCGAAGCCGCCATAAACGAGCAGATCAAGTGTGTATCTCTATGTTGTTGTCGCAAAATTTCAACTTTAATAATTGTAATTTATTTGTTTTGATTTTATGATGATTTTCTTGTTCATATGCTAATCTTAAATCTTAAATTTTTGTGTGACAGTGTGGAGTACAATGTGTCGTACGTGTACCATGCACTGTTTGCGTACTTTGACAGGGACAACATTGCTCTCAAGGGCCTTGCCAAGTAAACACTCTAAACTCGTAAATATCCCGCTTAATATATATACTAGTCTCTTTGCACGCGCGGTTAATTGGTTGTGATGTATCAGGTTTTTCAAGGACTCGAGCGAGGAAGAAAGAGAACATGCCGAAAAGCTGATGGAATATCAGGTATAAGTTAAACTCAATTCTCCGCCTTCTTGTTTCATTTCGCCATCAAGGGCATACGAGTTTTTTGTGTGTCTGCGTGTTCGTGTGTTAGGGTCTTGTATTGCGAGATTTGATAGTGTTGCGGTTTATTTCTCAGAATATGCGAGGTGGGAGAGTGACACTGCACTCCATAATAGCGCCGCCTACGGAGTTTGATCATGTAGAGAAGGGAGATGCATTGTATGGTAAGATTTTTCATTCCGTGGACAACAGAGTACTTTTCGGCGTTGACAATTTCTTTGCTGCTGGATGCTGAATTGGTGAAATGTATAATTAGAGAATGAGCATGTCTTTATCTGAAACCAACAAGTGAAGACCTATACATTAATTTATAATACTTAAATTAGTCTCCAAGATAACGTATTTTTCGTTGATGCAGCTATGGAGTTAGCATTGTCTTTGGAGAAGCTGACAAATGAAAAGCTCTTGAACTTGCATAAGGTAACATATCTCTGTCATATGAGATCGGTTTGAGGTCATTGATAAAGCTCATGGTGTCTCGTTTCCATTTGACGCTTTCTTTTTGTATTAAATTCTCGTTGTTTGATCCAAAACAGGTTGCAGACGAGAACAATGATGCCCAATTGACAGACTTTATCGAGAGCGAGTTTCTGGCTGAGCAGGTGAATTAAACACGTTTTCTACTCTAGTATGAGTTTGAATTACTATTGTGATATTGTCATCGGTAGGGTAAAAAAAGCCAAGATCGGTTGTTATTGGTTCTTACTCTGGTTGATAATCATTTCAATAAGTGAACATACCAAAACGCAGAAGGAAAACCACTGCTTTGCAATATTCAAACGCTGACTAACGATTTGTTCCTGTATTATTTACAGGTTGAAGCCATTAAGAAGATAGCTGACTATGTCACTCAACTGAGAATGGTTGGAAAAGGCCATGGTATGAAACAAATTTCACACTTCCAACTTGTCGCCATTGTATTTTCCTTTCGACTCCTCGTATCTTAATTTCTGGACTCTAATGAGCTACTTCATGGCTTGCAGGAGTGTGGCACTTTGACCAACAGCTCCTTCACGAGGGTGATGCTGCAAATTAAAAATTCACAGCTCTTCAGAATTATGTATAATTATTTAGGCAAGCTGGTAAGAGTGTGAGCTCAGGTGGGCGCCTTCGACAGGTCAGAGTCGACTTACTGCTGCGCAAATCGTTGGTTCGAGGGTTTGATCGCCTCCAACTTATGTAGTGAAGAGTTTATTGAATTAGTGATTATGTTCTAGTTATCCTTTTAGTCTATGACTCTGTACAAATTGAACTAAGTTCTGTTATGATTAAGTGGACCTTCTTATATGCTTTTATTCGAAGTACTTTCATTCTTCTGTTCTAAAATTACACAGTAGCGCGCTCGAACAACGCTAAGAATGAAATCGAGAGCAAACTATCATGTATACTCGCTCAGATTACTGGTATTTACATGTGAAATCCTGCAGAACCAAAGCTAAGATTTATATATCTCTCTTGAAAAGGAAGGACAAAATTTATGTAGGCTGAAGACAGAATCTCCAGCAAGAAGACGACCTCTTCCTCCTCCTTTTAGTGTTGTTTGCATTCTGTTGACAAGAGTGAATAATCTCCCACATCACTCTTATATCTTCATATTCCCCATAAGACTCCATGTCTTTGTACAAGCTCACCAATCCATGCCCACTTCCTGCAAATTTAACGCAAATCTCAAAAACAATTCAACGACTATTGCAGTATCCTAAAACAATCACGCACCGCTTTGAGTTTTAAACTTCTCAGATAGCAGCGTCTAATTGGCTTGAGATACTGTTACAGTAGCATTTCCGCTGCAGGGAAGTCCGAGCGTGAGAGAGGGAGAAGGGAGAGGGTATAATTGGAAACTTAACTCACCTTTGGATTTGTGCCTTGAGCGTGAAGCAAGCTTGAGAAGGAAGCACTTAGTTGGGAGGAGGAAGGATTGCTTGAAGCAAATCCATGTCTTCCAACCCACCATCTTCAGATGGTTCCTATTCCTTCCCCTCCTCTCCATTTTATATGTTGAATTTTTCAGTTCTCCTAACTTCCCCTCACTAAAATACTACTATCCAAGCAAAGCCAACAAACTGCATGTAGACATAGCACTAAGCAACACTCATCAAAACAGTGTATTTTTGTTGCACTCTGATGTCCGATTGGATCATTCCAAATTTAAACCTCTGGCCAATCACACCACACCACCTGTGTCACCCCACCCCAATTCAACTTTGCTTCCAATGTCAACCTGATCAAGTAGGGAGGCCTAAAATTGGTATTACGAAGTGGCTCTATTTCGTATGGCAGGTGGCATTTACCCAATTGGAGAGTCTGTGATTCGTTGTCTAACCTAAGTTAAAACATGTGAGTGGGATTGCTTAATTGACCTAATTTGCTGGGTAAATCTCATGTGTTACATGGAAATAATTTTTACGTGTCTTTTTCTCTTAAGTATATTCTTGTTTGTTTTACAATCTACACTTCAAGAGTCTTGTATCCACGCTGCCCAACTCCAAACTTGATGTTTGTTAACTAAGCAGGACATTCTTTGTTAATGAGCCTGCTGATATGGGACAAACCTATTTGAAACAAAGTATGGATTAAGTAAGAAAAAGTACATAACATAAGGAGCGAGAAAGAAAAACTTGGTTATGAAAACCGAAGGTTAGGCTGACTACTTACTTATAAACCTTTGCAACCAACCAAACGTGCAAGAAATTATTGATTCAAAATCTTTTATTTTTTAATAAAATAAAATAAAAAATCAGGTGACATAAATAAACCTCTATGTTTAAGAAAGACAATAAAAAGTAATTAAATTAGAAAACTTTTTAGGTAGAAAATTAGAAATTGGGAAATATTTATTAAGGAAGAAATGGACAATGAGTAGGAGGGATATTTTGGAATTTTGCTTTTATCTCATATCCTTGATTCCCAAGATTCTTAATTTTATAGTGGATGGAGGAAGGCAGTGATGGGTCCCTAGTCAAACGGTTTGTTGGATTTTCCGTTTTCTTTTAGTGCCTTCTAGTTTGTGCTTCTACACTTCTTTTTTATTGTTAATTATTATTATTATTATTTTTTAAATTGGTCCGTTAGTGATGTGATATGTAACATAATTAGTTGATGGTACGTGTAAATAAATGTGTGATATGTAGCATAAAGTTTTGTTATGTGAAATTTTGTCTCGATAAACTAATCAACTTTTTAAACGGAATTTTGAATAGAATGAGTCATGTGAAAACGATTTAGAATCCTATGAGGTGTTGGTGTAAGTTTTGAAAGCTTAAAAATAGTTAATTACCACAGGTTGATGTTTGAGGTGAATTCTAGGTCTGTATTTCAAACGGTTTATTTTCGATTCGATTCTTAACGTTGATCAATCACTATTAGTAGCTAGAAGAAGGCTGATTTACATTGAAAGAATGGATTGACGTGGTTTGACATTGACAATAAGCTGATCCTTTTTTTTAAGGGAATTTTAATGAAATACTTCCGGTATTGTTTACTTCTAACGAAAAAAGATATTTTTACCTTAAAAAGTCACTTCCGATACTATTCACTTACACTTTTATTTTCGTTAAAACTAAAGTTTTTGAGAACTTTTCATTAGTTTTCCTTTTTGTTTTTACGTGTAATTAACCCGTAAAATTAAAAGACACTTGTAAGAACTCTACTTAATCCCCTTTGGCACTGCTAGTAGTGGGTAGCGGAGGGACTGAAAGTATGTGACATGAACCTCTTCATGTTGTGTGGTCTTCAACCATACTCCTTGACGTCTCACCGACCGCCACTAAATAATTCATCATCTCTTTATCATCACATCATCTTTTGGGATTTGATATAATAAATAGACTTGTAATCTTGTGCTTTCGGTACTCGTTTAATTTATGTGTTGATAGCTATTGTCCATCTTCAATTGCAGCAATTGATGGTACCTATTATGGTGACAAATTATAGATAGGGCTTCAAGTTCTTTCTGACAATTGATATGTACCAAGAAATTATTTTTACAAAATGGGTATACGACAAAGTTCCGTCGCCAAAATGGATATAACCGTAACTGAATAACATACACATTGCAATGTATACGGTACTAATATTAATGTAATTCAAATGTGAGACATTCTTCGACCGAGCTAAGACAACTACAACCATATCAAATGTATGTTTAAAGAAGAAATACTGCCTCTGAATTGTGAGTTAGGGATCGCTCTGAATTCCCAAGGCTTTTTCCTGCTCGGCTTTCATCTCTGCCTCTCCTCTTGCCTTCCGTCTGGCATCCCTTGCAGTAGCATCAGGACATTCTCCATTATCTTATCGAAACCAGGAATTGTTAGCTCCAGTTTCTGGTACACTCGGGTGCTTAGCTTGGTGAAAATATTATACAGTCTCTGAACACGAAAAAACCCACAACGATTTAGTGGAAGTGCTTGCACATCCCTAAAGGGAAATTATGCAAAATGTCCAAAGAGGTTGAGAAACTAATATGCAAATAAATCTCTTTGTATCCTTGGACCTTGGGTAATGGACTGATGGGAATTTGCAGAGAAATACTGAAGGTGTAATAACCAGGATTCACAATACCTAAGAGCTTTTGGAATGTATTTGTTCGGCATGTGATCCTCTTCTAAAATTGTTGTCAGTTCAGAGCCACTAGCCCAAAGAAATAGAGCATGACTCGGAGTTGGAGGTCAAACACCATCGTTAGCTTCAAGTACTGCTAAGTCACGTCTCTTGCTTTCAACAGCCTCCTCTTGTAGCTGCTTATAAGTTTTCTTCTCGTGTCCCTTGAGTGGAACCCAGGGAGGAATTCCTTTTTGCAGTTTGTGAATCAAAGCAGTTGCACCAGCCGCGAGTCCAACTGAAGTTCACCCAACCATAAGCCAAGAATCAATTTGTTGAAAATACAGAATTAAAGTTATTTTACTCCTATGCACAGTTCATGCATGTAAGATTGGATTGCTTATCATATCGATAAGTTTCACAAAATTTCCTTCAAATATCTAGTACAAATTTGACATGCACATAAGATGATACTAGATAAAAACAGATATTGGTCCCATCGCCATCGTAATTCAGTGGTTACTGAACTCCAGTTCTAAAGGGTGTGTTTATTGTGTTGCTGCTATCACCCATTATAAATTTGCTGTTTCAAGAAAAAGGAATATTTAGCATACCTTCCCAAGTGGCAATAGCAGGTTCCAACCCGTAAACCATGTGAATAGGAGCCCATTCATCCATGTCCTCACCCCAAATGAATGTGTCTTTATCAATAATCCCAGCACCCCAAGCTGTTTTAAGGGTTATTAGCTCCAATGGAGCTCTTGTTCGACCTAACCGGTCCTCAGAGTAAAATCCACCGTTCCTCATGATAACTGTATCAACGTAAAATCAATGCTATTGCAGACAAACAATCAAGACAACATAACACAACCCTTTTCTCCAAAAGGAATCTAGAATGTCAATAACGAGTTTCGAGTCGAGAAATCATTGGTTAACAATGCAATCGAAGAATGTGACATTTCTTTAACTTGAGCCGAACCACTGAACTGTGATTAAAACATTTGTAGCCAATTCTGCATTTCACTGTAATTGAAACCTTTGTAGCCAATTCTCATAGTGATGAAATAACCACACGAAATTTTAAACCCGGCTCGAAAATCCATTTCATAATCTCACTACGCTAAGCAGCAAAACCAAATTAAAAAAACTACATTCTTCAAACTAACATATGCAAATGCATTCACCATAGAGATTTAAATGAACAAACTTACAATCTTAATACTGCTTTTCGAGCCGCTTATACCCAATAGCCTGAGCAACGTCAATAGGCCGGCCAGGCGGGTAGGGCCGCTGGCGGAACCCCCAAAGTTCAAAAAAGAACTGCCTTGCAAAATCCCAGAACTTGTCATCCGACTCCCGCCTGTCTTTATCGCCTTCCTCGGCATCGGCCTCCCGTCCGGCCCGATAACACGCGGCACCGCCTGCCACAGCTTCTTATCCTCATCCCTGTAAGGCCGGTCATTCTCCTTCAGCTCCAGCTCATTAACCATATCTGCAATCTTCTCCGCCTGAGCCAGAAACTTCATCACGGGGCTCTCCCGGAACTCCTTCCAAAACCCCTCGTTCTCCCGGACCTCCTCCTCAGTTGAGTTCTCCTTTTCGAAAATCGGGTCTTCGTTCAGAATCTTCGCGACTTCCGGGGCGTGACTGTAATCCGGGTCGTTCTCGCATTCCCAGAAGAACTGCTCCAGCATCTAGGTGTAGTGTCCGGGCTTTTCCGGCTCGGGCTCCGATGGTTTTTTTGGGGTCGGGTTTCGGGGGGGGGGGCGTTGAAGAGGTTGGAGAGGCTGAGGGAGGAGAAATTGGGAGGTGATTGCGCGATGGTGGGGCGGTGGAAGAATGAGTCGAGGGAGAGGAGGTTGATGGGGGTTTATGGAACCAGCTTTCGAAGGGGTTGAAGTTGATGGAGGCCATCGGAGGAGGAAGAGTGGATTCGTGGAAGCCTCTGAAAATTTTGAGATTATTGGGGTTTATCGTTGACAAGGTTGAAGAAAATGGAGGACTTGGAGGGGTTTTGACTGTTTGAAAGTGGATATGATTCAAATTTGGGCCTGGGCTCATCCAACGACTACGAATTTTTATGGGCCTCAGTCCGATCATGAATCAAATTCTCTCTCCCCTAAGTCAGTCGATTCAATCATTTGCATTCAAATTCAAATCTTTTTAGGTCTAAAATATCACTATGTCGATAGAAAAACTAAATCACATCCTTGTTTTTTTCTGCCGTCACAATCCCTTCGTGTAGCCCCATAAAAAAGATACAAGATGGTGTTTTGTTGTCCTCGATACTTATCATCTTCATTCTTCATTCTTCACTTTTTCCTTAAGGTACTTGCAGTTGAAGCGACTAAAAACGTTTCATCTTACGCTTGAAGTTCGGTGTTTAAATATCTCTCATCAATAATTAAGTTTGATTTATTTTGTTCAAAATATCTCTGATACTTTCATAATTGCAAAATAAGAAAAACATTATTAACTGATACTGGTTCGAAAATCACATTGTGAACTATAAACCCTATTTGACAAAAACTTCAAACTAAAACTATAAACCCTAAATTGATAAAAACTCAAGTACGAGTAGCAACGCCATTTCGTTCAAGAGAACTACACCATTCTTTTATGCATCAAAAAACAAAAAGATTCGAACTTAAAATTTCTTCCAACACGGAAAGAAAGTTGGTATCACGCGACCACAGTACCATCTATGTGAAAGTGAAAAGCAAAAATAAAAAGGCAATTGACACGTGGACACAGATATAAGAGCACATGAATGTCCAGGTCAGTGAATTCAATAAATAGACATACACACACACTTTTGTACACAAAATTGATTTGATGTGAAAGATGGGTTTTATCAGAAAATCCTTCAGACTCTTCATCTTCTTCTGCCTCCTGGGGATAATGGTAATTCCATCTGCTGCTTCTGAGAAAGTTTCAGTGACTCTCTACTACGAAACTCTGTGTCCGTACTGTGCAGACTTCATTGTCAACCGGCTGGTCAAGATCTTCCAGAACGGTCTCATCTCCGCCGTCAATCTCCGGCTGGTCCCTTGGGGCAACGCCTGGTTCAATCCCGACGGTTCCTTCGCCTGCCAGGTACCCCTTCCCTTTCCCTTCCATTGCTTTGAATATGGTCTTGTTTGCCGTTATAATACCTTTCTTGCTCCAGCTGCACCCTGCAACTGGTAACCGGATTAAAAAATTTGTCTGTTTGCGTGCCGCAAACGGCGTCGGTTGCGGTTTTTGGGCCTGTCCCATTTTTTAGCGTCGTCATTCTCCTGGGGCCAATCACGAGACCTGACATCCAGTTCTCGTGGGCTACCTCATAAGCGATATTAACTTTCTCGTGGGCTCAGTGGGCCAGTCACATTGTCTTGGTTTGATTTGTAATTTTGAAATGTTTTTAAAATAATTAAAAGTAGTTTTAGTGGATATATTTTTTAAATCAGTAAAAATATAAGTGGGTCTTGAAAAAATAATTTAAGCGTATGTAAGAGACACATATCTAGTACTTCTTAAAAAGTACTTTAAATGTTTTTGGAACTCAAAATCAATTTTACTAAAAGTGCTTTTAGTCATTTAAAAGCACTTTAAAATGAGTTTCTAATTAGCCACTAAAGTAATGCTAGAGAGACTAAATTTGTATATTAAATTTTGTAAACTAAATAACATGGAAGTTGGTGATTGAGTTATTACTTAATTGTTGATAAACGTGTTTATATTCTAGGAAGTTTTAACAAAACACTTCCGGTACTGTTCACTTTTAACAAAAAATCATATTTTTACCTTTAACTAGCACTATTTACTATACCTTTAAAAAAAGTTTTTCGTTAAAAGATAAGTTTTTTTGGACTTTTCGATAATTTTCCTTATATTCTGTTGGTAACACCTCATTTGATTTGCTAATTTAGTATACAAATTTAGTCTCCTAGCATTACTCTAGCCACTAACACAATATTAGTCTTTTTTTTGCTTGTAAGTGAAAAATTTAGGTTTAATTCTGTTTGGACGGCAAGTTTAAATATCGAAATATGGCGGACCTATTATGTGGTTTTGCTTTTGCATACCTCAGTCCCTAATTGTCGTTTTTGTATTTTCAATTGAATCGAATCCGATCTCTGTAATTAATTTGCAAATTGTTCCAATCGAAAGACATCCACCAACTTGGGTTGGATTAACGGAGTTTGCAAACTAGAGGGACCAAATTCGATGCAATTGAAAACACAAGGACAAAAACCAAAACTTTGTGAAAATTACAAGGACTAAAACATGTTTTCCGCTTGTTTCTTTTGGATTTTGCAGCATGGATCAGATGAATGTTTGCTCAACACCATTGAGGCCTGCACCATTAGCATCTATCCTGATGTGGTAATCAACTCATCAATTCACTAATTAAGCAAAACCAAATATTTAACTCATAGTTTAATATTTTGATCAAATTTTAATGCATGTAGAATCGGCATTTCACATTTATCCACTGCGTTGAGCGCTTTACATTGGGGGGCAAACACGGTGCTTGGGCCAATTGCTTTGAAATGACAAGATTGGGCACTGAGCCTATCGATTGCTACAACAGTGGAAATGGCTATGTGGTTAGTTTCACTTATATTTCACATACACATATATATTTAGGATTAGCTTCTTAGCTGGGACCTCGGTATAGCATCCTGTATAGTGACCATGTATTGACCGCATAGTTTGTCTATAGTTTAATGTTTTTGCCGTTTTGTTGGCTATACGATATCAGGGGTGTTATGTAGGCAATACATGGTCATCATACAGGCAAGATGAGGATACTATTGATCCCGCTCTGTAAACAAGTGGAGCGGGATTCCTCTTAATGTGTGTATTGTTGTGGTGCTTTTTAATACGAACTGGTTCATTGTTTGAGAATTGAGCTTCATGGATTGGGATTTTCCTTTGATACATATATAGATTGAAGGAAGCTATGCTAGGGAAACTGCTCAGCTTAAACCTCCACATAGATTTGTGCCATGGGTGATTGTCAATGATAAACCACTTCAAGAGGTAGGTCACTTAGTAATTCACCTTGTCATCTCTTTTTTTTTTCTTTTTTTTGAGAGAAACTTAGCCAGGATGTCACGTTGTCGGTATCTCAAGCCAATTTACATGAATATCAGTCAATGTGGCATCCAAGGTATAGGTAATTTAAGTTGTTATTGGGTTTTGTCACCCTTGTTAACACTTTGCTGTATGTACGTAGGACTACCAAAACTTTATGGCCTATATTTGTAAGGCTTACAAAGGCACACCTCCACAAGCTTGCGGATCAATTCGTTATAAGACCGAATCAACCGAGCAAGAAAAACCGGTTCCTCAAGTGTGCTTTGCAAACCAAGGAAGGAACTCTTCACATTAATGCTCATCTGCAAAATTTAGTATATGTACCCTTATATATATGGGTTATGTGACACAAGTCACTGTAATTGTGGGGTTTGTAATACCAGAGAACGCTTCAATGCGCAGCGTTTCATTGATGCCATGGAGGTGACCAAGTGATGGCAAACTTGACAGCAGTCGGTTGTTGTGTCATTGCTTGCATCTTTCACATTACTATAAAATTGGTGTATAATGAAATATGATGAATTGCTGCTCTCAGCGACGGATCCACATAATGGCGCGTAAAGGCTGTTGCTCATACTTGCCCGTTTTGCTATTTATGATCTAAAAAAGCTCCATCGCTACTTGAGTATGGCTGTTGTGGGGTAAGCTCTTTGACAAAAGTCCTTCACGATGAGTAAGGCGTGACAAGAATGGGCAAAGTGACATGGGTTGGGCTATATCTTGACCCCAACAGGAAAATTCTATATCTACCACTGGCTGATGTGTGTCTAAAGAGCCAAGAATCATAAACGCGTTTGGAAGACTTGTTGCCAAAAGTATAGAAGACAAACGAATCTTGTTTCTGCAGAAACTTGTAGGTAAACACTGATGCCATCTTATTCACACCAGTAACAACCAAAAAACCCTACAGTAAAAGACATTAAAGAAAATAGAAGCTTTAACCCTACAAGCATTTCCCAAATTAGATCGAAAGGGATTTGACAGCTGCAAAATGAATTTAATAATAAATATTGGAAATTGAAATCGCATGTTTGGTAGGAGTATGAGGTTTTTAATTAAACCAACTGCATAAATTTAAACCTAGCAGTTCTGAAATCTCAGAGACATGGCTACTAGTACTTATTTATTCTTCACTTTGATCATTGCCAGTTCTTTGTGCTCATTCGGAGTTTCTAGGGTGGAACCTCAGAAAGTTACTCTCTCAGTTTACTATGAAACTCTATGTCCCTATTGTGCTACTTTCATCGAAACAAATCTTGCTCGAATTTTCGCCAAGGGTCTCATCACCATTCTCAATCTCAGGCTGGTTCCTTGGGGAAATGCTTCTACAGCCACGTTTTGTCAGGTCGATTCTCCATTTCATCTTTTTAATGAAGTTTTACAGTTTTCTTGCATGAACACTTGTGCTTATTTTGTTACTTCTTTTCTTGCATCGAAATATTAGCAACCAAACAGGTATTATTGTACATTTAGATCCATCTGATATAACGGTTCTGTTTTAGTTTTTACACTAGAGATAGAGAGAATATATTGGAGAAATGTGTAATGGAGAAGGATTAAGGGAGGTGGTGGGAACTAAATGAAAACTAAAACATATAAACAAAATGGTTATCGTACGGCCCTAAGTATCTTGATGACGATTTTTCTGAAATTTTGCAGCACGGACCAGATGTGTGCAAGCTAAATTCTCTGGAAGCTTGTGCGCTCGATGTTTTACAAGATGTGGTGAGACCCCTCTCTTCCCGTATAATATATTTCTGATATTTTAGATTTAATACTGTGTTGGAACTTAATGTGTACGTGGTAGTATGGATATAATCATATACACTTATGTACTTAGACTTGGCCAATCTGTGATATTTTTGGTCTTAAATGATTTCGAATTCACGTTATCTTACACTAGGATGAATTTGTGATGCAGAACAAGCATTTTGCTTTGATATACTGCATAGAATTTCTGGTAATTGAGGGAAGGCACAAGGAGTGGCAAACTTGTTTCAGCTCATTGGGATTGCCTTTAAAGCCCGTTTTGGATTGCTAAAAAACTGCAAATGCAACAACAACAACAACAACAACAAAGCCTTTTCCCACTAAGTGGGGTCGGCTATATGAATCCTAGAACGCCATTGCGCTCGGTTTTGTGTCATGTCCTCCGTTAGATCCAAGTACTCTACGTCTTTTCTTAGGGTCTCTTCCAAAGTTTTCCTAGGTCTTCCTCTACCCCTTCGGCCCCGAACCTCTGTTCCGTAGTCACATCTTCGAACCGGAGCGTCAGTAGGCCTTCTATGCACATGTCCAAACCACCGTAACCGATTTTCTCTCATTTTTCCTTCAACTTCGGCTACTCCTACTTTACCTCGGATATCCTCATTCATAATCTTCTCCTTTCTCGTGTGCCCACACATCCCACGAAGCATCCTTATCTCCGCTACACCCATTTTGTGTACGTGTTGATGCTTCACCGCCCAACATTCTGTGCCATACAACATCGCTGGCCTTATTGCCGTCCTATAAAATTTTCCCTTGAGCTTCAGTGACCTACGACGATCACACAACACGCCGGATGCACTCTTACACTTCATCCATCCAGCTTGTATTCTATGGTTGAGATCTCCATCTAATTCTCCGTTCTCTTGCAAGATAGATCCTAGGTAGCGAAAACGGTCGCTTTTTGTGATCGTCGCTAGATTGCTCCGGTCATTAGTGTGGATAAGTATATAAATGGATAGAGATAGGAAAGCAAACACCAGATGTACGTGGTTCACCCATATTGGCTACGTCCATGAAAATAGAGGAGTTCTCATTAATTGTGAAGGGTTTACACAAGTACATAGGTTCAAGCTCTCTTTTAGTGAGTACAAGTGAATGATTTAGTACAAATGACATTAGGAAATATTGTGGGAGAATGATCTCGTAATCACGAAACTTCTAAGTTCCGGAGTGTGGTATCGTCTTGACTTGCCTTATCTGTCTCGTAGGTAGATGTGGCATCTTTTCTGGAAGTACTCTTCCTCCATCCAGGGGTGGTATCTTTAACTGGTGGAGATGCACAAGGTAATGTATCAATTTCACTTGAAGCTTACTTGTAGTTTCAGGCTTGGTCAAGCGCGATACAAACCATGTAGTAGGAGTCCTCCAAGTCGCCGAGCTAGGGGATCTGCTGAAAGAGGTGACAGACAAGGTAAGCAATCAGAGCTCCAAGCAATCAGTCCCAGATCAGAACTTTGATTTCGAGTTCCGGCTGATTGTTCACATTCTCCCTATCTTGCAGGCAGCATGAAGGATAAAGAGAAGAAAAATGAGAAGAGATGATATGGGATACTTTTGCTTTTGAATAAGTAACTTTCCACAGGCTTATTCTTGAACTGTGCTGGAGGGTTTTCTGGTTTCCTCCAGAGTATAAGGCCGACCGAAGAATTTGAGGGTCAAAACAAGTCCATCAAATCTATAGTACGTTCGACCCTGCTGATATGGGATACTTTTGCTTTTGACAGAGTAGTGAGGTCAAAGGAAAAGACAGGGAAAAAACATGATATGGGATACTCTTGCTTTTAACCCTGATGATATGAGATATTCTTGCTCTAGTATAGCTTGTTTGCAGAGGTATTATCGGGGGAAAGAAAGCTGAATATTTCGAAAGGCTTCTTTGGGAGTGCCCTCTCAGATATGAGGAAGGGTTGAGCATTTTTGCAGGTCTGCCTGTCTGTTGGGGATGGAGGTCAACATATATAGGAGTCTCCCTAACAACAAGTAGTAATGCTATTCCCTTACCCTGCTTGGTCATAACACGGTAGTGGGAGCTGCCAGCTTCACATGTTTTAACTTTGTCAGAGCACTTTGAAAAAGTGGTCTGTGGTATCTGGAAAGCTGATGTTGCGTGTAAAGATTACAGACAAGCTTTATCCAAGGAGATACGGCTCTTGAAGTTGGGAAAGTGGTGCCTCTTCGGTTTTCGAACAAGCAATCCTGTCGGAGATCTGGCTTTCGAGATTCGGAGAACGATGCCTTTTCGATTTTTGAGAAAGTCATCCTGCTAGGGGTCTGGCTCTCGAGATTCGGAGAGCGGTATCTCTTCGATTTTTGAGAAAGTAATCATGTTGGGAGTCTGGCTTTCGAGATTCAGAGGGCAGTGCCTCTTCGATTTTGGAGCAAGCAGTCTTGTTAGGAGTGTTTTCTCGAATGTGAGAAAAGGTTGGGCATGTTTGCTAGTCTATCTTGCCACGAAGCACAGAGGTTGACACACAAGGACTTTCCAATTATCCAGTAGTGGTACTGTTCCTTTACCCTTGTGGGTAATAATATGGTAGCTAGATCTTCAAAATTTATGTGTCTAAACTTTGTTAGTGCTGTTTCTTTGCTATTCTTTTACCCTTCTTGGTCAGAGCGGTGTAGTGGGAGCTGCAAGCTTCACGTGTCTCAACTTTTACCCTTCTTGTCGAATAGTAATAGTAGCATCTACTAGAAATCATGTTTATATGTCGCATAATCTGACAATTGAGGTTGTTAATGCAATGCAGCTTGAACAAAAATATGCGAATGAAACCACTCACCTCAGTCCGCCTCTTAAGTTCGTTCCATGGCTGGTTCTGAATAATCAACCGATTGGAAATGTTGGTCATCTCTCTTTCACTCTACATTTTTTGCCTTGATGCAGGATTATGTCTCTCAACATTTTTCGCCTTAATACAGGTAACAGGACTATGAAAATTTCGCTTCCTACGTTTGCAAGGCTTACAAAGGTGCCGCCTTGCCGATGGCCTGCCAATCAGAGTACTCTATCGCCACAGAAATCAATTTCTCAGCTTGCTTAATTACTTGACTCTATTGAGCTCATAAGTCAAATATTACATTAGCATTTAGAAGTTTTAAGGGATAAATAAATTCTCAAACCGACTGCTTTGTGCTGCAATGGAATGTCAAGTGCATGACAATCTATCTGCCTTACCATATTTTAGACAGAAAAAAGCCCAGTTACTTTGAGACAAAGGTAATCAATCAGATTATAATTTCAAAAGCATCAAAATATGAACTTCATAGATCACTTTGCCAGTTCTTATCACTAAAAATATATACACTTTCAATCCCATGTATACCTGCTGACATGGAATACCAAATTCATGAGAAAGTGACATATAACAATTATATATTGTTGGTAGGACTCAAATTCTTTTATTCATATATGAAATTGATTTGATGGTGATGTTCTACACTTCTACCTAAAAGGGTGTGTTTGGAGCTATGAACTCTAGAGCTCGTCTGGTGCATAAAAGGGATGCATTTCTTCATGTCTAATCCTTTCCATCCCCTCAAATTGAAATTCATTAAGCTCTACCTTCACTTATACATTTAATTGTATGAGTTTTCCAATCTAATCTAATCTAATATGTTAGTATCATATTTGGTGTCACTGTTTAGCTGCGAACCGTGCTTGCTGTCAAAAGAAAGAATGATTCGAATCAGGGAATCGGCACGGCCCGAACCCTAATTTCATGGCCCGAACCCCTTATTTTCATGGATAACTCCCAATCATCCTTATTCCTCACATTGTAACCCTAGATGCACACTTTTCCCTCTAAAAGCAACAAGCGTCTATATATTGTAAAACTCGATTATATAGTGAAAACAGAAAGTACACTAACGCATATGTAACAACTTTGAACAAATCATTATAAATTATTGTGTTTCTTACGTGTAACAGTCACTTTGAAATTTCATTTGAAACAATTAGCACAATTTGACCTTTAAACAAAATCAATATCTGTTATTAAATTGATTATAATAGACATTATGAGTTTCTAATTTCAAACCAACTAAGATAGGATATGAGTTTTAAAACTCATTTATTTTCTTGAAGGGACTTTCAAATTAAATTAAAATAGCATATATTGTGAACTTATTATAATTTCTAGTACCTTCTATAGTTTTGGAATTATTTTCAATTATAATTTTGAACATGAAATACCCAACCAATTTTTTCCATCCCTAGAACAAATGAATTCATTTAGAACTCACCTATTTGGTTGGAAGCCTAAAAAACTTTTCAAATTTGATAGCCATTTGAGGGATTGGCTATACACTAGTAAGATAATATACTATTATGCTTTTTTCTCGTTTCACCCTAAGTTTGAGTAGGTCATCATTAGCCCCATATATATAAATTATGTAGATTTGCGGGACTTTCCAAAATTTTAGCCATACTAGGTGGATACACAAGGGTTCAAAAGCTTAATTATGTAGCTTTTGCTCTATTTTTCTTCTTCATTGAAATAATTTCTTACTCATTTGGAAATAAAACAATATTCCCAAATGGCTAGATAATGCAAACAAAATAGATGAAGACAAAGAGTTGGAAAATGATGTGCAAATCAATCCTAATAATATATATAGATACAAGGCCACAAATTTCCGACGTGTAATTTTGTATCCTAAACAATTTTGGTAAGCGTTCGCATTGCACTTGAGGTATATTTATAATATAAATACATGATCACCATTCTTATGTGCTAATTAAGCAAATACTAAGAACAAAATGGATGCCTTAATGACTTCTCCTAAGCTGCTCTTCTCCCTACTTGTTCTTACTCTTTTGCTGTCCATTTCTCCTCCGTCTTGCGCTTCTGTTGAAGATGGTCATGGCATTGATTCCGTCGCCCCGCCTTCGTTTCCTCTGGAGCCCCAAGTAGCTGATCATCATCAGAAAGTTGACCTGACTATTTATTATGGCACTCTATGCTCAGCCTGTGCTTCCTTCATCGAGCAACTGTTACCCCTATTGATTTCGGAGGAGGATCTCATGTCCATTATCAACCTCCGGCTAGTGCCCTCTGGAAATGTCCGTGTCGAAGGACCTAATGACACCGTCGTTTGCGAGGTCCCATTTCCCGGCCCCTAATTTATTTTTGGTATTATATGTTTAGTATAGTTTCATTATATGTATTTGCACTAGTTAATTTGATTAATAACTAATTGTGGCTTGTGCTTTCATTGCAGCATGGCCAAGATGAATGTTACTTGAATAGTATACAAGCCTGTGCGATCAGCGTCTGGCCAAATGTGGTAAAGCCCTAGATTATTTAATTTTTTCAGCACCTGTGAATAATAACACAGCCTAATTAATTCATCTCTTTTAACTGTGTGATGCAGAAGCAGCATTTACCCTTCATTTCCTGCGTTGAATACCTTGCCGTCAAAGAACATCGATTGAAAGAAGATGTATGGAAATATTGTTGTCAGATTCACAATATGAGCCACGAACCTCTACTGACATGCTACAAAAGTGGATATGAGAGAAAGGTGAGCCCAAACTGGACACTGCACATTTTGTTTCAGTTCTTAGTAAGGGTTCCAGTTTAAATTTCACACCGCGGGCCTCAAAATCTCAGGGCCGGTCTAGATATATACACAAAACTCTATTGCTAATTAATCTATGAATTGTCATATGCTGCAGCTTATGCTACATTATATTTTGGAAACCTACGGTCTCGATCCGCCACTTACATGTGTCCCATGGGTTGTTGTCAATCAAAAACCACTCTATTATGCAAACCCTAATCTCCTTCCCTCTAATCTCTTTCTCTAATTCAAACTTTCGCGCGTGCCTGCACAAACACATACACGAACGCCAATTAAACCACTCTCTTTATCATTCATATTGTGGATTTCATGCAGGACTACCAAAACTTTGAGAGGTACGTCTGTGAGGCTTACGAAGGCTATTCTAAACCACGGACTTGCAGCCGATTCATTGCTCCCCCCGGGCTTCTCAGCTGGAGCAGCTCAGCTGAAACAACAAACTTTGCAATAAGAAGCTATATTCTGCATCTCCTTTTGCTGCGTGCAGCATTATTGCTGGTCAACTAGCTCTAGACTATAGAAATAATAATTTACTAATTAGTAGCGTACGTAATTAATTACTTGTGTAGTGTTCTAATTTAAGTATTGGTGATGTAGTTTTGCCTCATTAACTTTGAACATAAACTTAATTGGAGACGAAATTCACCACTAATTCCATCTCCAATTTTTATCATTCTACATGAAGTTCAAACAGCTGATTGCAAAGAACCCATGGAAACGTACGTTAAAGTTGTACCACAGTTATTGAAAAGGTTACAATCCTCAAGTAAAATAATGAAATATTACTCAGCAAAGTTAGAGGTCACTGAAACCAAATCATCTCCGTATAGGAAGAGAAAGTAGCAACTCAAGCCCACCGATGTGCAACTCCATTCACATGCCACCGATGAAATAGTTGGATCCTCTGAATGGAAGCCACAACAAGCTGACAATGCCCTTGGAACTGAACCTGTGTGTACCTAAAGACACAGCGAACAGAAAGCAACGCCGACCACGAACATGCCACCGCTGCCATAAAAGAGCTCGTCCAATCCCTAACCACCACACCAGATCCACCATTGTTCCAGAAAGCTTTCGTTGAAAAGGAAGTGACGATACCCTTGTAGAGGAGTGAGTGATGAACTTGCATATTTTGATGTAGCCGAATACCATTTTTGTTGGAATGTATGCAAGTCATATCTTTTGTTAAAATGCATGCATGAAATAAACATATTGGATGACTAATGAAGTTAGGCTAGTCAACCTTCTTTGTGTAAATTAGGCAAGTTAGGCAAGTTAGGAAATTAGGCAAGTTAGGCAAGTTAGGCTTATGTTCTCTTTCTTTTCCTATATAATGTTTCATCTTGTAATTGTTTTGATATGAAATACACATCAAAAATTCAATATGGTATCAGAGCAGGAACTCGAAATTCCTGGCTCTGTTGATCGTTTCCGCTAAGTTTCTTTTACTCTAAGCCAAGATGGCTGGAGAACATTATGAAGCTGAGTGCTCGATGGATGCTCTATTGATCGTTTCCGCTAAGTTTCTTTTACTCTAAGCCAAGATGGCTGGAGAACATTTACTCTAAGCCAAGATGGCTGGAGAACTTTTACTCTAAGCCAAGATGGCTGGAGAACATTTACTCTAAGCCAAGATGGCTGGAGAACATTATGAAGCTGAGAGCTCGATGGATGCTTTAGCTCTACCTAACGTTGTTCAAGTTTGTGGCACGAAGCCAGCCATTATTCTTTGTTTGCGGCACGAAGCCATTTCAAGTTTGTTTGTTTGCGGCACGAAGCCATTACTGTTTGTTTGCGGCACAAAGCCATTTCAAGTTTGTTTGTTTGCGGCACGAAGCCATTACTGTTTGTTTGCGGCACGAAGCCATTTCAAGTGGGAATTTGGTAACATGGCGCAGCAAGAAGCAAAGCGTTATTTTTACTAAACCTCTTCCTACGGTTCAGTTCATGCGCATTCTGTCCAAGCTTGGCTCAAGGAATCCCCTCGATCTAGCTTGAGGGGGAGTGTTGGAATGTATGCAAGTCATATCTTTTGTTAAAATGCATGCATGAAATAAACATGTTGGATGACTAATGAAGTTAGGCTAGTCAACCTTCTTTGTGTAAATTAGGCAAGTTAGGCAAGTTAGGCTTATGTTCTCTTTCTTTTCCTATATAATGTTTCATCTTGTAATTGTTTTGATATGAAATACACATCAAAAATTCAACAATTTTTGTCCAAGTGCACCACCTCCATAGGTTGATAAGGAGGATGTTCTATAAGGGGCCTGACTCCTTGCGGAACGGTAGGTTGCTTTGGCAGTCATAGTCCGGCTCATGATGATGTGTAGTTCTGGCTTGGTTAATCCTCTATGACTCTATGATTCGGGGTTCAAGTTTTTTTTCTGTTATGGTTGTAAGTGGATCCCGAGTCTCTGCATTTATCATCTGTGCATTTAAACAAATATTGACCATTCATGTAATCTAATGGATGCCAATCCTCCCATGTCAAATTTGGAATAAATATTCCCTTCGTACCATATCGTATCCTTCTATGCCGTCTCCTACTCTCCTTGCCTTATCTTTCGTCGTCTTCTCCACTCTACTGTAAAATCTCAAAGCACTTGTAGTCATTTTCGTTATCAATATATCATCATTTTCTCATATAACAAGTTGTACCACAATATCCTGCTGACATGGATAATGACAAATTAATAAGACAACGACAAATAACTATTGTTGGAGTTGGTACAGTCAAACCATTAAGTAATGAAACTTAAAACCTAGAACCCACCTACCTTATACGAATAAGTAACTTGATCAATTTAATTAGGGTTAGTGGAAGCCAAAAAATAGATGAATTGATGTATTTACGCGTTACCAGTGCTTTTCATGTTTAATTAAGTTTGAGTAGCTCCTTGATCATTGCTTAAATAAAGGAAAATTACCATGTACGTAAGGCAAAACAAACAAAATATACATTCCGTACTGGAAAATTGGTCTTAATCCTTATGAATACTAAGAAGATAGTCTTAATTAATGACTAAGTACTTTTTTTTTTGGTCAAAAGAACTTTCATTCCATTAAAAAACTAGTACAAGGTCCAAAAGGAACATGATAAACAAACAAAGGATAAGGTAAAATGCCGCAACCCAAGAAACAACAGGAGGCCCTCACAAACTTAGGCCCGAAGGTTGAAAAAACAAATAACAAAAAAACCCTAATCTCAAGCTTGCATAAACTAGACCATCGATGCCGTCACATACTCAAAGGAATCCAAACTCAGAATTGAGAATGTAGACACCATATCCAAGTCCCCTTCACGATGGGAATCTATCATGCCTGATATGCAAATTGGGGGAGGAGAAGTGAGGGAGGATAGTAGATTTGGTATCCAATTTTTGATTGGGACGTGCATGTCTGAGTACATGTTGGGATGGAGATGAAGTATCACAACTAAGGAGGATGGAGGAAAGAAAATTAAAAGACATAAAGCAATAAAAGTAGGCAAATGACCCTAGATAAGGGGCATGAAGCCCAAATTTGAGACAAGCTCAGGGGATAGTTGAGATCCGGCTCAAGAAAAATTGAGAAAAACTCAGGGAGAACCAGGAATAAAACGAAAGAAGGAGACTGGCAATGGGAGAGGAAGAAGAGGTGGATGCAGGGAGGGGGATGGGGCAGAGGAAGTGAGATAGGAGGGAAAATATGGAAAAGGCAAGGGGGGAAGAAGGAGGGAAGGAGTAATGGGCTGCCACCTACCCCGAGCAAGAGTAAGGGACGGCGGTTGAAACTTGAAGTTGGAGAGGAAGCTCTGGATTTGGACTTCTAGAGAGAGAAACATGGAGAGAGAGAGAGAGAGAGAGAGAGAGAGATATAGAGAGAGAGAGGGAGAAAACGCGTTGCAAAGGAACATCGCATAACAAATGTAAAGGAACATCACATAACAAATACAATTTAAATCTCTTAATGACAAAGTACTTAATTGACCCTTTTACTCATTGAAAACATACTAAGAAGATAGTCCTAATTATATGTATGGCACCACTAACTGAGCTTTGTGGTGAAAGAGCTCTCAAGTTCGACTCCCCAATTAAAAAAAGACGGATTTTCAAGAAGAACCTTTGATTACACCCAAAGGTGTTCCATTCAACCAATATCACTAGGTAACACTAATGATGTATAACCTTCTTTACAAATATTTCAACACATCATGCGATTTTCAGAGGGGCCACAAAGACGCAAAACTACAGGACCCTTCTTCCACCACCCCTCAGGGCTGAGAGAAACTCATCTATAACCGGAATGTCACTGCGGCGATATTTGAAATTTAATCCAACACTATCATGTGGAAAAGTTAAAACACATTAGAGTGTTTGATACACACTACACGATCCCATACGCGTTTAATGCATCATCAAAACTTTTCTTGTTTGAGTTTCTATTTATCTCAGCAAACCATCATCAACACCAAATCTTATAAGCTTATAGCTCATTGACTGTACAAGACATTTGATTCTTAAATATATTAGTTGGACAAGTCAAATGAATTAATGATAATAATCCAAAATATACCAACTCCTAATTACTGCAATCCTTAATTTGTCATAGTTCTCCTTTCTTATCACAGTTTCAAGGGTTTGGGCTCTGCAATTAATTGCCTTATCTTTCCTTAATCCTCCCTTCTTAGCACAGTTTCATCATCCTCAAGTAAGCAACATCTGTTGATTCGACGATGCAACTCAATCAACTCAAATGACGAAATTTAAGAGCTATCATACGAGTCATCTCTCAACACATTGAGAAGATAAGCGACTGTCGCTTTCCCGCTTAAGGTGGCGTGGCGATCATAGCTCATAGCGAACGAAAGAGGGTATTTTGGTCAGTCTAAAATTTAATGTAGAGAAACAGCTTGGTCCTGTGGTGGGTGGTACATTAGTACTTGGAGGAGCTATAAATATGCAGGCTTACATGTGCATAGCTTCAGTGTGCTCTTAACTGCTAATAAACATTCAGTAATGGCTTCTCCTAAGCTCTTCTCCCTTCTCATTCTAACTTCTTTGCTCATCGTTTGCGTGTCTTGTTCTTCTTTTGAAGATCAAGGCAGCAAAGTCCCGCCTTCTCCAAAATCCCGAAAACTTATAGAAGCTCCTAGTGCTATTCCTAGGCCTCCTACCAAAGCTAAGAAAGTTGACCTGACTCTGTATTACGAAACACTATGCCCATTCTGTGCACAGTTCATCGTAAATGGACTATCAAAGGTATTCGACACAGATCTCATCAACATTGTGAACTTGAGGCTAGTCCCATATGGAAATGCTCATATACAAGGACCTAACAGCACCATCGTTTGCCAGGTCAGATTTATGATTTCCCATCTTCATCTTTTTTTTAATTGGCTTTTATCATTATGTGTTTTTATCATCGCCTGTGCTGAACGAATGTGTTGGTGCTTCACACTCTGCAGCACGGCCCGGATGAGTGCTACTTGAACAGCATAGAAGCCTGTGCTATCAACAGCTATCCAGATGCGGTATGGCCATCTTCTTTTCCTCAACATCTAAGAAAATAATAAATATATACTTACACATATGACAAAATCATAAGTTTTCACAGTTTACTTTCCATTAGAACCTAAAACGATATGAGTCTTGTCCAGGAGATGTTTGCAGACTTCCACAGACCTTACAGAAAAAAACAAAGAAAGATGAATGATACGAATAGGATTACTTACAGAGTTTTTACTTGATCTTCATCGTCACTTTAACTCTGATGCAGACGCAGCATTTCAAATTCATTCATTGCATTGAGAACCAAACCATTCAAGGAAAGCAGTCGAAAGATGAATGGAAATCTTGTTCTCAACAACTAGGGATGGATCCGAAACCTGTCCAAGATTGCTACGACAGCGGGTTAGAGAAAAAGGTTAACACTAATTTGTTAAACAGCATTTTGTTGAAACTCATGTGTACAAATCCAAACAATATTTTCATTCAACAAACAAAATGATTATAAATTGGCATGCAGCTTATACTACAATATGCAAATGAGACAGCGCATCTTGATCCGGTTCACAACTATGTGCCATGGGTTCTTGTCAATACTAGACCACTCTATGAAGTAAATTCCATCTCTCTCCCTCTCTCTCTCTCTTTTTCTCTCTCTCTCTCTCTCTCTCTCTCTCTCTCTCTCTCTCTCTCTCTCTCTCTCTCTCTCTCTCTCTCTCTCTCTCTCTCTCTCTCTCTCTCACACACACACACACACAATGCGCCCGCAAGTACACATACAATACTGAACTCTTCATATCTGGTTGTAGTCCTACCAAAACTTTGTACCCATTGTCTGTGCGGCTTACAAAGGAAGTCCAAAACCAGAGGCTTGCAAACCACTTCCGCCCAATATCAACTCAACTGATAAGGAAAACTCTACCGGACAAAGATGCTACAAGGGTGAAGAACACCAGGAACAGCTAAAACTTCGTAGATGAAGGCGGAAACTTCAGTGTGATTCACATACATGGTTCTGCAATATATTTTGCTCTGTGCAGCATTGCCGGTCCCATATCATTATGAATAATTGACCAGCGTTATATGTATTGTATCTTGGTTCAATAGTTATGAATTAAACTGAATTTTGAATATATGACTTTCTAATACGCCCTTCAAACTTATGCTACAACAAAATAGACAGTAAAACACAAGTACACAACCAATATGTTTCCAAGGGGCAGCAACACCATCCCCGATAATCAACTTTGAAATGTGCTTTACAATATGTCATCATAAGTTACAAACCTCCCAAAGATCACTTCTCAAAAACACGATATCAAGCTGTAGGACAGCATAAAAGAAGAAAACAAACATGGAAAATATTATATTATACAAGCCGTCTGAAGGGAAAATGTTCAAGATATATCATGAAGATATCATCTTCCAAATGCTATCACATGTTTCAGAGGCAGTCATCTTTGTTGGATCAAATTCAAACTTCTGAACAATTTTCTTATTGCTATCCACAATATCTGTAATTTTAGACTTAAAGGAAAACAAGGTGATTACAGCTATATCATACTTTAAATAACATTGCACAAAAAAAAAAAAAAATGAACGAACAAACAAATGAAGGAAATATGCATGTCCAAGTAATAAGTAAGTTTCAGCAGTAGGATACAACCCATATCACGCGACTTATTTTCCAGGTTTGGTATAATGTTTGTGACAGAAGCATACATGGAGAGCTTCCTCCTGTAGATAAGAGAAAATATTTTATTGACTAGAAATGAATTGTCAGTCTGTCAAGAGAGACAGAGAAAAATAAGACCAGAACAATCCATCTCATGACCGGTACAACTACAGCAACCACTACTGTGATGAATGCATAGACTTTTATCAGTATTTTTTAGAACCTAAGAAATATAAGAACACTGAGAACAGACGAGAAAGAATCGCCACAATGTTAGCATCACACTTCTAAATACTTACTGTTCCCTGAACTCATCTTGCTCGTGTCTCTTCAAGTTTCGCTTTTTCTCCCGAACAGAAATCCTTTGGCGTTCAAACTCACTAATCTCGTTGCCTAGAACTGTGTTAAAGCAAAAGAGAGCCAAATCAGCAACCATTGCTAGTCAACCTAAAATAAAAAATCTGAAAGCCAACACAACTAAATGTATACTTATCTAATCTCCTCCATAAGCGAACTTTCTATTTCAGCATCCCCATCAAACTCTCTCTGAAGACGGTCTAACTCTTCATCAGCAACAACCTCCGATTTTGCCGCCTCGGTTTTCTGCTTGCATTCATCTGTCTTTATCTCATAGTCTGCTTCATATAAGAACTCATCAATCAATGCACGTATCGACATACAACACCAGCCAAATATCTTCTTTCCGAGAAACATTTATGCAAGGGAAATACGAGAATCAACCAGAAAAACCCAAATTAAACCTAACCCCTCTCTCCCCTTTTTTGTTCTTTCGAAAACATTTTCCCGGAAAATGGTCTTGAACCCTACATTTTGAGGTGAAGCTCTCTGCGTGTATGCATAAAGTAATTTTCTAAACTAAACAATCCCAGATTTACCTAAGGCATAATTTAGCTTGCTTGAAAATGGAAAAAAGTATAAGCAACTAACTGAAAATTTTCTGGGTCAGAAATTTTCTCGGGAAACAAACAGAACCCAAGTGAGTAAACAAACCTCGAAGCGAGTTCTGGACTTCATTGAAATCGGAATCGCAGGAGGAGCGGAGGGCCTTGAAGTGCTGGAGACACTGCGCCAAGTTGTTGATGTCCCTATGGTCCTTCAACACCTTCACCAGATCGTCGCTGTACGAAATCAGCTTCGAAATTCCAGAAGCTTCTCCCATTTCTCTGAGGAATCGGATTTGCTGCAACTGTCAGAGATTTTGGAAATTTTCAAATTAAAGAGAAATTGGTGGGAACGAATCTAGGGATTTGGTGTGTTGAATTTAGACACTGAAAAATCCCCCTTTGCAAATTAACGAATAGTGGGACACACTGAGTGATTATATTATTTGTTTCTATTGTTCTGACGGGGCTGTCGATATGTCCGAGTGGTTAAGGAGACAGACTCGAAATCTGTTGGGCTTTGCCTGCGCAGGTTCGAATCCTGCTGTCGACGCAATTTTTTTTCATAATTTCTCTCTCTATTCTACAACGCTCATTTCTTTTTTTACTGTATTAGATGGAAAATTGGAAAAACTTGTTTTATTTTTTCTTTATGGTTTTTAAACATTTAAATCATTTTTAATGGATTTTTTTCACTGAATATATGTGGAGTCATGTCATTGCCTTTGTACGAAATTGGAAAAACTTGTTTTATTTTTTCTTTATGGTTTTTAAATCATTTTTAATGGATTTTTTTTCACTAAATACATGTGGAGTCATGTCATTACCTTTGTAGGCTCGAAACTTATGTCACGTAAGCACACTAACAAGAAAACATAACTAAATCTAATGATAAGAACGAAATTGATGAGTTACTCTAGAGATGAAAAACGAAATTAACGAGTTTGAAACATAAAAGACCAAATTAATGACTTAACAAAACATAAAGAATCATTTGCGATAAAATTACTTTAAACGCGAGCGGACATTTATCTGACAAGAAAACATGAACGAAGTTGTATTGGGTCAGGAGATGTGTTATAAAAATATGTTTGTTGTCTTTACAATATATAAATTAGAACAAGACTTGGCTGCTGAATTTTCAGCAGCCACTCCTGCTTACACCTAATCCCGAGTGGACACGTATTCAAGTTTTGATTATTTTTTTAATCAAAACTTGGACACATGTCCACACGAAATTGAATATAAGCAGGAGAGGCTGCTGAATTGTTCAGTAGCCAAGTTAATTCCTATAAATTATACAAATAGTTCGTCTATGGTCATGTTCCCTTGCGCAATGTTAAGACAATTAATATTTTATCCTATATGGGGTTAGGATGGATCAATTCAAACACGTTTCTTTCAACTCAAGTTTTGAGCTTAAAGGTAGGATGATGGAATCACTTATTTTTTTCGTTTTTGTTTTTACATGTTAGTAAATGAAGAATTTATCAAGAATGCGAATTGTTTGTAAGTAAACAAGTCATAACAAGATATTGATTCTTGAAGTACAATCACAATATTCAGTAATCCCAACATACTAGTATGACAGGGTGGACCATATCATTATTTGTTGCATAATCCGAGTAGATTTAGCGAAATTGTGCGAGGGTCGTTAGCACCATACAAAATTGAAGTTTATCATCAATCTTTCATTAAGTTAAACGTATTAAGTTAAAATTTAATTTACTTTGTAATACCCTAAAGTTTTAAATTTTAGAACCCCATAAACATGAAAATAAGTGAGATTTGTGGACAACAAATATAAAATTAGATTTTGTTAGCCCCTTCTCCAAGTTGTTGAATTCAAACCAATATGAAATGTTGGAGCTTCGAATAATCCGTGAGTACCAGGAAAGAATGACAAAACAAAATCAAATTGGCAACTGCAAATCCCCTCTGTCGGTTTAATTAAATTCCAACACCGACCATTTCACAACACATTTATCTGTTTGTTAAGAAGCTAAAAGAACACCACGGTCAGAAGGAGGCTGAAATGCCCATGTGAGTATTTTCGGCCTCCGAAAAAGGTGGATAACCGTGGCTTGTCACCAGTTGTCCTCTTTTTTTATTTTTTATTTTTTTTAACAAGCTAAAAGAAAACGTTTGTAAAATATAAGATGATGTTATTCACACACCCAAGATTTTAAAGATGTTAAGCATTAGTTGGCAATCACTGTGAGCAGGGGCTTAGCGCCTAGGTGGTTAGGCGGGGGTTTAGATAGATTAAGTGAATTAAGTAAATCTATTTATTATGTTCATTCAAGGATTCAATCTCTTACAATTTATTGAAAAAATAAATAAAAAATGAAGGTTATCGATTTTCTGTCTAGGTGGGAGTCACGATTAGGTGGGTGCGTAAGCGGGTTTAAGCCGGCTAGGTGCACGCCTAAGAAGGTTTAGGTACTCTTTCTTAATTTCCAAATACCTAGGGATCTATTGAGACAAGAGTCAGCCGCCTAGCGCCTAGGCAGGGCCTAGTGGCGCTAGACAGAGAATTTTATAACAGCGCACTCTCCCTTTTTTTGAAAAAGATATGTAAAAAGTAAAAATTGGTGTGCGAATTTTCTTTATCCTGCGACATATCCCAATAAAGGCGTTTTAACACAATCCCTGATTAGATTACACTAATCCCCGCTCCCAAACAAGCCCCGAAGGACATCTTTTCCCTTTACCCCAATCCGAGTCCACCTTTCTTGGTCCACCTCTTTCATAACAAGTATGAAAATTGTTTATAACAAAGTACTGATTTTTGAATTACAACCCTAATAATCAGTAATCCTAACATACTAGCATGACTGGGTGGATCATATCACTATATGGAATGAGGATCGTCTTCGGATCCTCTTTGTGAGAATCTTGGGAATTCTCAAATCGCATTCGTTCATTGTATATTGTGCGGTCAGAAATCATTTTAAATACTTTTATTTTAAATTAAATATGAATAGTACCTGAAGAAAATTGACCGCACGATATACGATGACCGAACACGATTTGAGAATTCCCAGAATCCTCACAAAGAGGATCCTCAATCCTCTATGTATTGCATAAATCCAAGCAGACTTGGCAAAGTTGTGCAAGAGTCGTTAACACGACACAAAATTGAAATTTATCATCAATCTTTTATTAAGTTAAAGTTTAAGTTACTTCGTAAGAACCCCATAACATTGAAAATAATCGTGGATAACAAATATGAAATTAGATTTGGTTAGCCCCTTCTCCAAGTTGTTGAATTCAAACAAATATAAATTGTTGGAGCTTCGATTAATCCCCTAGTACCAAGAAAGAATGACAAAACAAAATCAAATTGGCAAATGCAAATCCCCTCTGTCGGTTCATTAAATTCCAACACCGACAATTTCACCAGCATTTATCTGTTTGTTAATAAGAAAAAAAATAATGACGCTATATTAATATAGGAGTGCGGATATCATTACCTGCAACATATCCCAATAGTCGCGTTGGTATCCAGGATAACTAACCCAAAGTTTTAACACAATCCCTATTAGATTACACTAATCCCCGCTCCCAAACAAGCCCCGAAGGACATCTATTCCCTTTACCCCAATCCAAGTCCACCTTTCTCGGCCCACCTCTTTCACTCTCTGTCTGTCTCCGTCTCTCTACAAAGAGAGATGAACCGCGACATCAGGACCATCGCATCTCTCTGCAGAAGCTGAAACAGGAAGAAACCATAACAAAAACCTGCAATCGACGCTTCCTCTCTCTCTCTCTCTCTCTCTCTCTCCAGATATTCTCACCGTAGCTTCTTCGCCACAGTTTGTCTCGGTATATCTTCTTTGCTTCACTCGCTTGATTTCCTTTTCGCTTTATCGCATCGAATCGATCTATGTATTTAGTTTTGGAATCGGTAGATTTTAGATCACTGTTTAGCTTTTTAGTTTCTGTTTGTTTCCCGAGAAAATTATACGAAAAGAAAATTTTGATTTTGATTCCGGATTCTGTTGTTTTTGTTGTTTGGAGAAATTTAAACAGTCAGCTGAAATCCGGAAGCGTTTAAACCGATCTTGTGATTTTAGGGTTTAATTTTGGTTTAAGATGATATAGGATTTTTTTATTGTTTAATTAATTGGAGACTGCGTTAGGGTTTTGGATTTAGAGTGTGGAATCCGAGACTGATTACTGATAAAATGAGATTTTGGTGTTCCGGCAGTTCATCGCACTATATGCTTCCTAGAAAGAGAGAAGCAGTGGGCGGAGAGGTTGTAGTAAACGAAGCCACGGAATCTCCGATCAAGAAGCCTCGCGGAGCTGCGACTACTGACGATTCTAAGAGCAACGAAAACAAAAACACCACCACCTTTAACAACAACAGCAACAGCAGTAGCAGCATCGAAGAATCTCCAATCATGGCATTGGGCAACGGGAGCTCAAACGATATCGATGAAGATCTCCACAGCCGGCAGTTGGCGGTGTATGGCAGGGAGACCATGCGCCGGCTCTTTGCCTCCAACATTCTCGTCTCGGGGATGCAGGGCTTGGGCGCTGAGATTGGTATGTGAAAAATGTTGGGTTTATTTGGATGATATGGAGATGTTTTATAGCTCTTGAGAACTTAATTTGTTCTAATAATAACTGAGAATAAGAAAGGGAAGGGTATAAATATTTTTTGTTTTAATGGACTTTGCATTTCCATTTTTAAGTTAGACATGCTTAACCTGATCATGCATGAGAAAACTGTGAAATGATTCCATTGATTCATTGTTGTGTATCCTATACTTATTAGGAGCTCGAAGATAGTACCTTGCTAATTACTGCTAAGTTAGTTTCTCATAGAAATTAAGGTGGTACGAATGTCCGGTAATTCTGTGGTTTATGCATTGAGATCCTTTGTTGCAGCAAAAAACCTTGTTCTTGCCGGTGTCAAGTCTGTGACTTTGCATGATGATGGAGTTGTTGAGTTGTGGGACTTGTCAAGCAACTTCTTCTTTTCTGAGGAGGATGTTGGAAAGAATCGGGCCCTTGCCTGTGTTCAAAAATTACAAGAACTAAACAACGCTGTTGTCATTTCGACCATAACAACTGAACTGACTAAAGAGAAACTCTCTGATTTCCAGGTACTGCACCCGTTGTCTCTTTGTTACTTCTTTTGTTGCATGATGGCTTGATGTTGCTAACTTTTAACTTAGGGTTCCGTGGTTAAATCCAGTTTCGTATTTACATTTTTATAATCAAAGGAAACCAATGTTCTTCATTATCATATTTTTTGCTTGCCTATGAAAAGCGGTATATGTTGAGTATTTTATCTCTTTCTGTCAATGTATTTTTGGAAATTCAATGCCTTTCCAATTATTGGAGTCAGAATGGTGTTTCTGTTACTGCTTT